ACACATGATCTGTCGCTCTTAACACAACACACCAGGTTGTGAGTGAGAGGGTAAGTCGCTGTGATCTCACGTTCTTGGAGGATGCCATAAGGGAATTATTGCAGTTTCTCCATCCACAAGTCGGCCTCTCCACGCAACCATACACAAGGCCGACTCCGAGGTCTGAGCTGAATCATCAGTTGGCGCACCGGGGAAAAAAAGCGCACTAGGTTGTTTATGAAGATTTATATAGGCTGAGTGCCACTGACCTTGCTCTAGAACTTCCCTCTCTCAGGCGCCAGTCGACTGTTAAATTGGACTTTTAAAAACTGCTGGTGGTAGTGGTAGTGGCAAGACTTGTCGTTGTTATGGTGGTGGTGACGATGATATGTGTAATTTTACATTCAATAGTGTTTAAAGACGACTGACCTTAAAGTGACGGCCCAGTATAATTGGGTCCTGTGGGTTCAGTTTGGATAGCAAGAGACGAAGGTTCTCAACAATGACGTAGGTGTCGTCGTCGGCTTTCATGAAGAAGTCGAAATTCTCGAAGTGTTTCCTGTAGGCGTTCTTCATGCCAAAAATCGTCTTCTGCCAAAGAACACTCCGGCTTTCCTTTTCTACAGCCTCTTTCAAAAGGCAGGCATAGGCAAAACGCAGGTTTATCTGGCGGGAACACGTAAACTAGGGTAGCATTAATAAAGGACCAAAACTGTGTAAGTAAAAACATCGTAGAATGGCCTCCTTAAGCGTCTCTGGACATCAATAAATCCTGCCGTTTATGCCTGTTTTAAATTTGTGCCGGAAAACAAATGCTTCAAAAAGTAACTGAAAATATTTTTCTATGGATTATATATTTGTCTAAGCAGAATGACGTTAGCGACAAAGACATTGGGGACTGGAGTGGCCATTTCTGACTTATTAACTGCCGTAAGCTACTTAAACTTAACTAGGCCATTCTAGGCTCGTCTGCAGCGCTAAATAATTGAGCTTTCTCAAGAATGCATAATGGCAGAGGATTTTCCAGAGCACACTTCAAGCTTACTATTTGGTTTTTATCTTATTCTATTACACTCAGTGCTGTAGGCGTATCAATCAAATCAACTTTCTCTGATGATAAAAGCCACTTTTAAATGACTAATAACTTTAAAATGCATCACTGAACAGTGAAACAACTTCTGTCCCAATTTTAGTTATACGAATAAAAACTGTTCGCCTTCGAAAGAAAAGGTGGAATAAAACGGACATTGCTATTTTTCACCGACAAAAGTTCATAGCGCAAAGACGGCGGTTATTAAGCCCAATAAAAAAGTTTGAAATTGAAATTTTTTAACGGGCTAAGGCTGCCAAGTTCGTGTGCAAAATAATTGATTGCTGCAAGACAGAAGCAAACTTCGGAGAACCGGGAAACGGTTTTCAACGTTACAATGTTTGAAGAAAAAGCTGTGCTTTTGGATATAGAGGTCACTTTCATCAAGTAATTTTCGAGACTGGTTCCCCAGCTCGTCTTCGGACTAACAATAAATGTGCAGAGAACAACTAAAATTTCAAACGTGCAGCAAAAGACCAAACATATATGACGTGAAATCTGACTGGTAGTTGTGGCCTCTGTCAGTCTGTGTTGTGAAGCTTTCGTCCCTTCCTTCGTTCTTTGGAGTGTTTACAGATATCATCTAATTCTGCGTGGCGGTTGATGCATGAACCATCGGTGTGCATGGTCTCAATAAAGTTTCGGCCTTTTTCGGAGAGGCAACCTCCGACGATGCGGGGTTTGTCCCACGCTAAGCTCTGTTCTGTATAAAGGGTATGCAAAGATACTTCGGATAAATGGTCATGTCTTTGCACTGCCAGTTGGTGTTCATGAATTCGTGTAGAGATGGAGCCTCCCGCTTTGCCGCAGTATACGGTATCATAAAAATCGCATTAGATCTTCTAAACGACTTCTTCTTTATCGAAATAGCCAGCCTTGTCCCCATGGTGTACAAGCTGGAAAGGTAAAGAAGTCGTTGGTTTTTGCGCGACTTTTATTTTGTATTTCCTCAAATACCTTTCAACGAATTCAGACACATTGCTTATGTAAGGAAGGGTTCACTATGCATTTGTTTGTGGCACTTGAGAATCTGTACGCCGATGCATGAAAAAGCAACGACAACCTAAAGAAAAAGAACTAGATAGTTCGAATCAAGCGCCAACTAAGGCCCTTTATAAGTTTTTTACGAAGGACGTTCGTTAACGTTGATTAAAAGAAAACTGTTGAAGTATATAAGAGGTTGGCATGTACTTACTCAGGGCTGGAAGGGATGGGTCATTTTCGCTGCTTATAAATTCAAACCCATTGAAACGTTGCGCCCAGGTAGCCTTGACATGCACGGCCTTTTTATCTTTCGCGTCAGGTGTCGTAAGTATAAAACAGTAAACGCGTACTGTTTGCTTGAGCTGGTCTGCCAACACTGATTCTCCTGTAATTGAAACAAAATAATAGCAGTTGTTGATAGTACGATCCACACTGGTCGATTTGTAAGGGTGTAGTATTCTTTATAATATTTGACGAAAGACCAACCAAATAGTAAATTTTGTGATATTACTCTATGAGGACATTTATGCAGACATAATTACGAGCGATTTCTTTTAAACAGCGTTCTTTTCTACTGCATGAAACCCGCCAGCAATCAAGAAAAAAGAGTGAAGCATTAATGTCAATTTTAACTACAAAATGTAGAGTACTTAACATGCTTTAATGCATAGGGAGCCAGAATATTTACCTTCGTGATGTCCGCTTTCTTTGTCATCAAACTTCATTGGTGTCGGCAGCGCAATGGGAGATATTATATCGGAAATACTTATTCTTTTTAATGTACTGCTGCCACTTATATGCACCACGGACCAAATAATGAACAGGCAAAGAACTATGCCAGCAATAAATGGGATCAGAGGATTGCGTCTGAAGGCTGAACCCATAGTTCTGTTCAACATCGGAGAAGACAGCCTGGGATTGAGGAACAAGAAAAGGACTCTCATCAAAAGGAAACTAAAAACTGTTTTGCGCTCACGCGTGCATTTAAAAAATAACATTACTGAACAAGCTTTCTGGAAACCAATTTTCAAGGATCTTGTTAAGCCCTCTTTTGATGCCGTACTGATTGTAAACTACTAAATGACAGGTATTACATTATTTTGCGTTTTGAGAATGTAAATGCTGTCATTTAAAACCTCTGCATCTACAAGCACTTATGCATATACAACAGTAGAAATAACAGTAAAATGGATAAACTTGATGTCTATTCGGAATATGGCACAACAATAAGGCCATATTTTCGAAGATTTAGACCTTCGTTATTTGATCTTGCAATTCCAAGAAAAACCACGTCATTTACTAAATATTGGCTGTGCCCAGCGTCCCACGTAAGGAACTGCCATTGCCTCTAAGTTTTTTGGGTTCAGTCGATGCAGTTCCAAGTAACTTTTCACATATACGAGGATGTAAACCGTGCACGCACACTGATATTAGCCAATAGATGTTAAGCAATGTTGTATGTTAAAACGGGTAAATAAGGCTGCAAAATGCAACGGATTAAACGACCGCGTAGCCGTCAAAAAACGTTTAAATGACTATATGGAACAACAGTTTGCCCTTGTCCCTACCACTGACGGTAAAATAAAAACATGAGAATGCGACGACACAAGAACACCCTTGA